ACCTGACGAGGACTTGGGGAGTTGGGTGTAGGTGAACCTCGAATGGGTCACAGCAACACAAGGAGAAACAAGGACTATACGTGAACCAAGGGTAGAACCCAGGACGGCCCATGATGAGTTTGTTTCACAACTTGTCCTCTCACTGATCTCTCCTCAGATTACCCAAAGGCAAGTGGAACAGTTCTAATGGGGTTGAAGAAAAAGAGACTTGGGTGGAAGAGGACGAACTGTTTGATGTTCAGGGTAAGCCAGGAGACTCTCAGTCTCTCCTTGACACTTGCTGAAGTACGAGATGCATGTAACTATCACATAAATGTTCCAGAAACTGCTTGTCTCCCAACCAGAACAAGTTTAGTAAGTTCCTCATTGTGACTCTTGAGGAGTCAGTTCTCTGTCCTCTCCCATTCAACAGTGCAGACTGTCAAAGCAGCACTTTGTATTGAAAGAAAGTTCCTGGCTTTGTTTTAATAAATCCTGTATTTAATTGTCGTTAATGTTCTTCCTAAAGTCTTTTAATTAGAAAAGGGCATTCCATACATTTTTGTTTAAGTAAAAAATCTCTTACAGTTTCTCCATTTTTTAAAAGATGATAAACTTTGCTTTTTCATAATTATTACTGAACTTCATAGCACTTGCATTAGAATCTCTCCCGCCATGTATTTTTTATTCTAATGGAAATATGTAAATGCTACAGCTTAATTTTGGAGATTCTATATAACACAACAGTTATCTATTGCCAATCCCTAGGTTTTGTCTTTAAAAAAAGTAGCCTCAGTGGCAAAAACATGGTTGGCAAGATTCAGATCACAGGGAAAATGGGAGATTAGTAATATAAAATCAATAAAAATGACATTAAATATTTAAAAACGTCAGGATATAAAAGTTCTAGGTAACACCCAGTTTTAATGCAGTCCAGACTTGTCAGCTTTAGAAATCATCTTCCACTACAGTGTGAAATACTTCATAATTTAAAAATAAATAATCTGCTCCTGAGACACCTTCCTCCATTGTGTAGGAAGCACTGCTGGGACAGTGGCACACACTCTAGCAAGTATATTGTTTATGCAATTTTGCCTTTTCTTGCAGCTTTTTAACTGGTTCTCAATGTCTCGAAATGGCATGTCTTTTATACTTGTATGGCCAGCCTCCTGTAGCCCTCTGGCCCTTTAAAAAATTACCTTGGTCCATATTTCTTGAGGTCTGATCTCTATCCATATGGTAAAAGGGCAGAGCTTGAGCAGATCTCACATGGTTTCTCCATGTGGGAAGCCATAGTTGTTACCCTGTTCTTTTGTTCAAGGAATTGAACCTACTTTTACTTATGTAAAAATGATCAGGGATTTGAAAATTCTGGCATGAAACAGTAAAACTGGGGTGGCTTGCTGGTTGGTGTGACTCAGTGGATTCAGTACTGGCCTGCGAACCAAAGAGTCAGTGGTTCGATTCCCAGTCAGGGCACATGCCTGGGTTGCAGGCAAGGTCCCCAATAGGGGATTCGTGAGAGGCAACCACACATTGATGTTTCTCTCCCTCTGTCTCCTTCCCTTCTCTTCTGTCTAAAAATATATCAATAAAAACTTAAATAAAATAGTGGCTAGCAAAGGGTTATAATATGGCAGAAGTTATGTATGTATAAACAGGTATATGTATGAGGGTTTTAAATACCACAGTCCCTTGGTAACTTTAGAAAATGCTAGTTTTATTAAAGAGCCTGAATTCATCATTAAGCAACATTTATTGAATGCTTTTTGGTAAATATTTGCTTTGTACAGATTTCAAAGGACAAAACAAATTATACTTTAGTGATATCCTTTCTTTTCTCAAAGATTGTCAAATGTGAATCAGGCTTTCCCTTTAGGGACATTCTGTATCTTTTTCTGGTGGTTTGTGCAGAGAAAGGTGAGCTCTGAAATGAGTCTACTTTTAATGTTTTCCAGCAGCACCAGATGAAGAGAATACAACCAGTGTAACAAAAAAGCAGGTAATTTAAAATTCTCTTTTCTAATCTTTTGATTGTGTGGGTAGAATAGAGGTAAAATAAGTACCCACATTTCATAGATAGATGACCCATGCACCAGGCAAAATATTGTTTGCATTTTTCTGATGATCTAAACTAAGTTAAATAGAGTAAGTCCTTGAATAATATCCTTTTGTTCAATGTCTTTTTGTTATAATATTGATTAGATGCTGTAGAAACTTAACTCTTGTTTATATCCATTAGCCTATGGTAAAATTGGTTTTGTTATACGTCACTATGCTTGCAGTTGCAGAACCTATCAATGACGTTATGTGAGGACCTACTATAGTCACCCTCTGGAAGAAAAATCTAGTTGGACAGAAATCTGACACATTTTCCTGACCATGAACAACACACATTTGAAGTTTTAATGTAGAAGTGATTATTAGTTGAAGATGAAATGGCAGGACATTGGAAATTATTAAATGTACAAATCCAGTGTTAATTTATTATCTGTATTAAACCCTTCTTTTGGGTTCAGATTATTCTCTTAGGATTCTTGAGTTTACCTCTTCACTGTTTGAGAATGTGAGTAAGTGGAGGGAGAGGTGATAAATCTTTGGTTTTCTTTTGCAGAAGTGGACTGTAGAAGAAAGCGAGTGGGTCAAGGCTGGAGTGGAGAAATTCGGGGAAGGAAACTGGGCTGCCATTTCTAAAAATTACCCATTTGTTAACCGAACAGCTGTGATGATTAAGGATCGCTGGCGGACCATGAAAAGACTTGGCATGAATTGAAGCAAGCTTTCGTTTCCACAGGATTCACAGGAGTATGGTTCCTAATTAATAGCCCAATAGTCTGCTCGCTCTTTCAGAAGCTGGGCTGGGAAGAAAATTTGAGGCATCCTCATCCAACATGGGGAAGGTCCCAGTTCTGCTTCATCACTGTTGGAGATCATAGAGCTGAAAGACAAAGCCAAGTCTACCCTATGTCCTTGGCAGAGATGACAGGCAGACAGCTTGTACAGTGCCAGAATATTATTAGTATTTCCCTTCTTCAGTGGTTTGCTTGAATTTAAATCCCCAGTAATCAGTAGAACCTTCTCCTAGGAATATGGTGGAGTCTGTTAGGAGCACTTAGGACTCCATGACCTGTTAAAACCAGCAACATGAGCATTATTTGGAGTGAACTTGTTCCAGGTAAAGCTCTGGCCTCCTGATGCAAATGCAAAGGAACTTCGTCTGTCATGAGCCCAGGCTATAATGAAAGACCAGTTGTGGTGGAATCAGGGTCCCTTTAAAAACTGTTTAGCCTGTTGTGACTTCAACACCTAGACCTAGTCTTGGCATTTGCTCTTACTATTTGCTGGACTACATAGGCAGGTTTGACCTCCACTTCTCATGTGGTTGAACCAGTGTGTTTTTTGGTGATTGTAGAAAAGCTTAGCCCCTGCCCCATTCTCTTCCCTATGCTGGACTTTTAAAGCTTAAAAAATCCTGACTGAATATAAATGCCTAATTCCATTCTTTATGAAATGGTTGCTTCCACCTGATTCCCTAATTGTGCTGTGTTGGTGTCTTGCACTGAAATTCAACATTTCCTCCTTTTGTACTGTGTTGTGCTTGCCGTCTCTCTTGAACATCCTTAAAGACCGTCTTTTTAGAGAAAAAAAAATCAGTGAAGTGTTTTATGTAATTATTTTTTAAAATTTGAGAACTAATTGTCCATAACTTGCAGCATCCTTCATTAAAGTCTTGCTTCTCTCAAATTTAAGTAGCTGTTTAATTGCAGCACAGCATGTATGAACACGTTAAACAAATTTTGCTGAACCATGTTGACTGTTAAAACGCCGGCCGATGTCAAACTGTATTGGATATTCTAGTCTTTGGAAGCTGTGTTGAACCCTTTCTCACTTTTGAGTGAAAGATGTAAAGAAATGCTAAAGGTTTAAAATTTATCCTGTAGTTACAAGTTGGAAATTTTGTACAGCTCTATTACCTGTTAACTATGTGTTTTGGAATTTAGTATTACTGTTTTTCTGCCAATTAACCCCAAATGAAACTACAGTGAGAACTTATCTCCTCTCAGTACAGCCACCTCCTCCTGATCTGGCTGCAGCTCATGTGGTCTCCCTCTGAACTGGATTTGGATCCAGAAGCTTTTCTCCCCTCAACTCTCACCTCATTAAGATGGCGTGCTCTGGGTAGAAGAGTGAAACTGTGATGCAGTTAGGGAAGCAACATATCCTAATCAGCATTTCTCAAATTTGAAAAATGCATAGGTCCATTAACATTTTTAAACTTAATGTCAGTGCTATACTGTTACTGAAATGTGTACAAACAAAAAACTAAGCCTATAGCCTCTAGAGAACTATAAAACTTACCGTGTACTGTTGACTGTTTTTGTTGACTCCAAGTCACTGCTCACAAAACTGTGGCAGTGGTGGGACCAGGGTGGGGGTGCCTGTGCCATTGTGTGCTGAGAAATGACCCCCATCTCCCACCTCCACCTTGGCAGGACTGCTGCAGAGCTCCTATGGCTCCTGGGTGCTGTGATAGCATTTGGCCTCTGTTAGAACTGAACACAATTATAAAGTCTATTCTTTACTTATTAGCTTGTGGTAATTCAAATATTACCACTTGGAGTCAATGTGATGAATTCTGAAGCAAGACTTGGTTAGAAGCTATTAGAGCTGTTTTGGTTTTTTAAGATTATGGCTGAAATGAAAACGTTCAGGCATTGCAGGACCCAGAGACTGACAGAAACACTGTCCTCCTGGCTAAGAGTGTGAGGCCCACTGAGGGCCCCCACTGTGCCAGCTGTGTTTGTGGGCTGGCGAACCACGCACTGGGGTCTCTGTCCATTTCTGTCTTGCTTCATCCATTTAAATTTTTTAACAGATTTTATTTATTTATTCTTAGAGGGGAAGGGAGGAAGAGAGGGAGAGAAACATCAATGTGTGGCTGCCTCTCATGCACCTCCTACTGGGAACCCATCCCATAATCCAGGCCTGTGCCCTGACTGGGAATCAAACCGGTGACCCTTTGTTTCGCAGACTGGCACTCAAGCCACTGAGCCACACCAGCCACTGCTCCATTTAAATTTTTGCACACACTTTCATGCTGTGCTCTGTTCTCTAAACTGTAGCATTGGGCAGGAAGTTCACTGAAATGGATGTTGCCCCATGTGTCTTATTAGAGTAATAAGTATCACCTAGCAATTTGATATGAATAAGAGAAAAATCTCCCTGGCCAAATTCTCTCTGTATATTCAGTTGGTTGTAAATAAACTTTACTCGATATTTATCCCCAGGAAGCAAGAACTGAAAAAATGACAGCCAAAAGGAAGGATGGAAATACCTCTTCAGAAGTAGTAGATCCTGTCTAGCACCCATGAAGTGGCTTTTGTAAGCCAGAGTTTTTTAGGTGAAAACAAAGCAAAAAACTCTTCCTGTGAGCCAAACATGGGGGTATCATGCCAGTTCTATTATGGAATATCTATGCATGGTCCTGGGACTGGACCAAGTGTGACTTGTAGAGTTAATGATTACCCCAGCAAACTACTTGGTTCCACTGGGCTGCATGCAGTTCACCTGCAGAGGAGTTTCCAGGAACCAGCATGTTTCCTTTGCTTGTTGGGGCTGGACTGGTGGTTCTGAACCTGGTGGCCTCTGCTAGGAGCCAGAAGACGGAACCCCTTAGTGGCTCCGGGGACCAGCCACTCTTCCGAGGAGCAGATCGGTATGACTTTGCCATTGTGATCCTTCCAGGAGGCGCAGAATGCTTTTGGCAATTTGCCCACCAGACTGGATACTTTTATTTCAGTTATGAGGTGGGTACCTGGGCTCCTCTGGCCATATGGGGGACTTGGTTTTTGTTTGTTTGTTTCCTTTTGTAAAATGGGTCACAGTTTTAGACTAACATGAGGTTCTGGTTGTCTTTATTAAGCTGTGATTCTCTACCTATTAATGAAATAGACCTGCAGGTAGATGGAAACTCCTGATGGGTGATTAATGACTAAAACATATGGCTTGGTTTCTCAAAGTGGGGGCCATGGAAGTGTGCTCAAAGCCACGGGACAAACAGGGTACCTCTTCCTGGAGAAGTAATTGTCACAACCACTCGGTTGTGGAAATGAAAGGGGAGAGAATACATTTTTAAAATATTAAAATAGTATGGAAATAGAAAGTCCCATGAACTTTAGAGAGACCCAGACAAGTAAAAAAAAAAAACCAAACAAAAAAACAGTTTATGGAGTAGGGACAGCAACATTTACTCTTGACTTTACAGGTAATTCTGGCAAACTGGAGAATTACTGACTCAAGATTTCTCTATTGAGCCAGACAGTCCTGTTTGTGTTAGGAAGGTGAATGTTTTCAAGGCACCTGCTCACAGGCCAGGTACTTTCATCCACACCACAGTGCCCAAGGATGGTCTGCTCAACAGTCAAATCAGAGGCTATTCATTTTCTTTGTTATCTCAGAAACCTGTTAACTTTCTAATCTTTTAGAGTAACAGATTGCATATAATGACCTTATTCCACTCCACTGTAACTGAAATTTATTTTAAATTAGAACTGTTTCTTATCTCTAAATTTATGGTACAAGAGTAGCTATAGTCAGTTCACTGTAGCTATCAAGATTCAGCTTGACAGCAAGTGTCCATCAAATGCCTTATTTGCTGTCAAGCATGAAATAAGCCCAAGTATCTGATGACAACACCAGGGAGCTCAAAACCAAGCAAGTTCAGTAAAGAACTCTATACAATTAGCCCTGGCTCAATGGATTGAGCACCAGCCTGTGAACCAAAAGGTCACAGGTTCAATTCCCAGTCAGGGCACATGCCTGGGTTTCAGGCCAAGTCCCCAGTGGGGGGGGCACATAAGAGAAGGGAGTGCTTTCTCCCCCCAACCTCCTTTTTTAAAAATAAACAAAATCTTGTAAAAAACTCTACAACCAGAATCTTACACACCAACTGATACAGGCCTGCTGTATGGTCTGTGACATGTCCTTCACAAGAGTGCTATCAGCATTCAGGGCAATTCTTTGTCCTGCAGTAGTATTTTTCTTTTTTTTTTTTATCATTGTTCAAATACAGTTTTCTCCTTTTTACTCCCAACCTGCAGTACTATTTCTAACATGGCAGGATGTTCAGCTTTGCAGTCCCTCCCCACCCCACCCAACACCATTGATGTCTCAACCCAAATTCCCAGAAGGGGTCGGGTAGTACCATCCATGATTGAGAATCACTGTGCTGATGATTGTGGGGTATCAACCTCACCACTTAATTAGCTTCTTGGTGATGAATCAGGGGCTCTTCTTCCTCTTTAATGTCTTGGCAGGTTCAGCGGACACTGGGAATGTCACATGACCGGCATATTTCTGCCACTGCACATACCCCACAAGGTTTTCTCATAGAAACCTCTCAGAATGTTCGGGGCCAGATTAACTTCCATACCCAAGAGACAGGTCTGTTTTCATTATCACAGCTATTATGATAATCATAGGTTTCTTTGAAAATGGGAAAATAATGATGAGGTACTGAAATTAATTAAGTACCTAAGATGTAAAAACCCTGGCTTTTTCAGATAAGGATGAAAACTGAGCCTAGGACACCAAAAACCAGTTTTCCTGAAGACTGCCAATGGCCAAATGGCAGTCCTCTGGCAGTTTGGGGGCAGTCTCCAGGTGACTAATTGTAACTCCAAAGTCCAGAAGTTCAATTTTATGTCGTCATCTCCAACTGACCAGAATATGAAAAAGTGACCAAAAAACCCATTTAAGATATAGAATTCCAATTAGCAAATTTATTATGGGATAACATCTCTTTCCAGTCATGGGAATACATGAGCCAGTTCCAAAAAGCAGACTCGGAACAAAAGGAAATGTACGGCCATGAAAAATACCTCTATTCCACAACAAAGCATTTCTCTAGTCACCAGAAATTCCTATAGCCTGTCCCCACATAGATCTAACTTGTCCCCGCCCTGGACAGCATCATATGCACTCTCTACTGGCCAGGTGTACAAAAAAAGATGTTTCTCTACAGGAACATAAGACAATCTTTCATGTATAGCACAGGATACTCTACTCAGCATTATAGAATATTTAGTATTTGGTGGCCCCTACATGCCAGTAGTGCCTTCCAATCATTTCAAAAAACACACTGCCACACCTTTCCAATCCTGCTCCTCCCCACTCCCACACACACAAGGGGAGGCAACCCCAGTGGAGAACCAGCACCCAAAACCATCAGTCCTGATACAGACAGCCTTGAAGTCAGTTACTCCAGCAGGATGGTTTCTTTCACAACGCATCACATTTCCCTTAGTTTCAAGGTATCCCCCAGCTCTAATGGTATATAAAAAGCAAACAAACACCATTCTCTTCATTTCAACTTAATTTGAGAAATTTCTTAATGAGAAAATGTTGAAAGAGGAAGGAAACACGGTTTTCTTTTCAGTATAGAACTAGCTAGTAATGTTTGCATTTGCAATAATAAAAACAATTATACATATTTAGTAAATGTTTCCTGTAAGATCAGTATCTTTCTTCCACATCAAATATTGGATCTTTGTAGTTGCTAAGTAAAAAGAAGGTGCTAACGTAGCACACTGACCACTGGAGAACAGACAGCTTCTAAACCTAGAGGAAGAAAGATCAACATAGGGTGGGAGACCAAGACTCCATAATGATATAGGGATTCTTACAGGTTTTTATCAACTTTGTCTAAAAAATCAGCAAAATCACTTTGGTTCTGTGCAAGTGTACCTCAATTTTGGAGTCTTCTATGAGGGGCCTGAGATGGACCACGAACAGAAGAGTGAAAGAAAACAACTGAATGATACTCTGGATGCAATTGAGGTAATTGCTTTGTGGGAGAGAAACATCCATGGAAACTGATTTTAAATGTGGTGGAAATATTAAAAATATGAGAGTAGTTATCACTTACTCCAAGCACTCATTTGTGTAGAAACCAACCAGGCAATGGGATTTGAAGCCTTTCATTTTTATGACTTGGAGCTCTTGAAATTCTTCCTTTATCATCATTTTAAAGTATACAATTCAGTAGTTTTCAGCATATTCTCATGGTCCAGGTACAATCACAAGTATCTAATTCCATAAGTTTCATTGCCCCCAAATGAAACTCCATACCCATTACATTAGTCACTTGTCCATTCCCCACGCCTCCCACTCTGGCCACTCACTCACTAGTCTACTTTCTGTCTACAGAGTTGCCTATTCTGTATATTTAATGAGTGAAATCATACAATGTGACCTTTTGTGTCTGGCTTCTTTCACTTAGGATGTTTTCAAGGCTCATCCACATCATAGTATTTATTAGTATCTCATTCCTTTTTATGCCTGAATAATGTTCTACTGTATGGGTATACCACATTTACACACTTATCAACTGACAGGCGTTTGGGTTATTTCATTTTTTGCTATCATGAATAATGCTATGAACATTTGCATACAAAATTTTGTATAAGCATGTTTTCATTTTTTGTACAGATACAAGTACTATACTCTACTAGGTCATAGAGTAACTCTGTGAGGAACTGCAGTTTTCCACAGGGGCTAAACCGTTTTACATTCCCACTGGCAGTGAATGAGGGCTGCGCTTTCTCCACATCCTCACCAACATGTTGTCTTATTAGCCTCCCTAGTGAGTGTGAAATGTTATCTTCTGATTTTGAGTTGTCTCCCTAATGACACTGAGCATCATTTCATGTGTTTTTCAGCCATTTACATATCTTTGGAGAAATGTCTAAATATTTTGCCCACTTTAAAATCAGGTAGTCTTTTTCTGAGCTGTGTTTTATATATTGGATCTGTGTGTACGTGTGTGTGTATATATATAAAAAATCTGGATATAAGTCCCTAATCGATATATGATTTACAGGTATTTTCTCCCATTTTATGGGATATATGCAGTTTCATGATGGTCTCTTGGATGCACTAAAGTCCACTGCCTAGAGTTTTGTAAATGAAGTTTTATTGGAACACAAACATGCTCAATTGATAATTACATATTGTCTCTGGCTTTTTGGTGCTACAATTGCAGGATTCAGTAGTTGTGAGAGACTATTTGGCCTGCAAAACCTAAACTGTTTACTATACTATCTGGCTCTGTAATAAGTTTGCAGGCCTTGTTTTCTACCATATGCAAGAGCTGACGACACCACCCAGGACAATGATAACAGTGTTGAGTGTGTATCTAAATCTAGAGATCTGGAAAAACTCGCTGGTTTCAACATTGAAGTTTTTCACTAAAAAAGTTTAACATGAAGTCCAGGCCATTTTCCTATACAGCTAGATTATCATTTAGTAACTACAACAGCCACCAACTTATTACATGTCATAAATTCATTTAAATTACTCAATTTCCTGAGAACTTAGTGCTGGTGGTGAGGAAAGATGGTGGGCAGAGGGGCGGTAAGGAGCCCTTTCCTTATTTCATTGTCCGTCCCACAGGAAAGTACCCGAAAGGTACAGAGAAATATCTTTCACATGTGGCGATACTACAACTTTGCCCGCATGAGGAAAATGGCTGACTTTTTCCTTCTTCAATCAAACTATAACTACGTGAACTGGTGGTCGATAGCCCAGAGCCTTGTTATTGTTCTTTCTGGGGTCCTGCAGCTGTACTTCTTGAAGCGTCTCTTCAATGTCCCAATGACTACAGACACAAAGAAGCCAAGATGCTAAGCTAAAACAACTACAGTGGCTCTCTCCTTCTGGGGCAGAAACCTGTCAAAGCTTTGGTTAAATCAGCTTTTTCAAGTTATTGGGAAAAATTCAATTTCTCCTCTTAGGAAGTTTTAGTTTATTGCTCTCATCTACAGAGGCAAAATGGCAATAAATAAATAAAAATGTGTAAGTTTTGATGTTGGCTATTTTTGAAGTTTAATCAAAGTTTAACGTTTACCATCAAAATACTATTCATCATATAGTGGTCCCTTAACCTTCACTAAGTCTACATAGAGGTTAACAGAGAACCCTGGAAGGGAGAATGGTTGAAAAAAAAAAAAAGGGACAAAAACATATAAAACCCAGTTTTTATATGGGTTTTATATGTTGCATACAAAACCAGGAGTTGGTAGAATGGTTAAAAAGTGCTTTATTTTTAGAGATGTGTCCTTTGGAATTTATAATAAGCAGTATATTCTTAGAGAAACTGTTTTACAATACAGGTAGTTTTAAAAATATTTGCAAATGTTTTTCATTTAAAAAATATTTTAATAATTCTAAAAATGATTTCATGAAGCGGAGGGAAGAACAGAGGAGGTAAATTATTTCAGGGTCTCTGGTTAGTGCTTTTTGTCCAATGCAGTAAGGTGAGTAAAGGCTTGTAAGGAAAATGTCTGAGGAAACCAAGTTGATGGAAAAAAAATTCAACCCAAGATCACACAATCCACGAAAAAGAAAGATTGAGAAAACAGCTTGTAAAAAACCAAAATAATGTAATCAAATTATACTCATTAGATCCCACTCTTAGTAGCAGCAACACTCAGTATATGCAACATAAAAATAATTCTCAGCATTGATTTAACACCTATCATTTGCCAGGCACTGTGCTAGGTACTTTACAATCATGATTTCTAATTCTAAAAACCATTCTTAGATAGATGGCCAAAGCTGTTTTTTGAAACAAAAGAAAATGAAACTCATGAAAGTTTAATGACTCAGATAAAGCATCATATAGCTGGTAGGTGTTAGAACTAGGTTTTAAATCCAAGTTTTCTTCCACACCATGCAGAACCTACCATAAAGAAAATCATCAGAATAAATTGCTCTTAGTATTTTATCCAAATTTCATTTGTAAAATCCCACACATTTGGATATGGCAGTATCTATCTTTCATAGTATTAATAAATAAATAAAAAAAACTTACGTTCTTATCGTGAGTTTGGAAAACGGTGTTATCACAGATAACAATAAAAAGCTATCCTTGTCCTCAATTCCAATGATTTAGAACCTTTTACTGAAAACAAGAAGCCCTCTGATTAAAATATAAAACACAATATTCTATTTAGTAACAGACACAAAAATCCGAAACTCCATTTTTGAGCCATTTCTGCTTAGTTAGAATCCAGCCTGCATTTGTCTGTAATAGAATATAAAACTAAGAAGTCCCTGGAGAGGTCTGTGTTGACAAAATTCAACATGATGGTGGAACCTACACAGACACAGGAAACAAAGCTAGGCCCTTCCACACAGCCATAAGTCCTCGCGATGATTTCGTTTTAAGTCAATGTCTCTTCATGTCGCACATACTCCCCAATGTCTGCTTGATGAAATACCACAATCGCCATGGGATCTACTTTCCTGCAGTCTTGTGTAGACTTTGCTGCCACCCCAAAACCCTGGGATTCAAAAGAAGAGACACTAATTCACTCAAGTCATTCAATAAGCACGCACGGAGGGCTGGGAATAACAAAGATGAAACAATACAGTTCTTTGAGAAATTTAAAAGCTGCAGAGAATTTTGTCTCTCAAGCCCACAGTCTGGAAATACATCCTTCGAGAATAAAGATTCTTAATCTCTGTAACAGCTACCATCTGTACTCACCAAAGGGATGTCTGCCATGGAGTACACCACCACTCCCTGGTACTGAGAAGTATTTTCAGTGATTCGACCCAGTCCAGATTTTAATACATGGTTCCCATACAGGAAGGACTGCTCTGCTCCAGGCTTTACCCACACTTTGTACTATAAGAAAGAGAATTAAATCCAAGACACATAATTATATCCCCACAGATAAGCTAGCTGCTATATCTGACTGACTTCTTGAAAGCATTTTAAGAAAAAGACGCATGTTTCTCTCACATTGTTCACCCCCTAAACAGAACTGCCAGCTTCTTCCTCCATTCTACAAGCACCTCCCACGGACAGTTAAACAGCGCTTTTTCTGGACCCACTACGCTCCTCCTCACAGCCGCCTATTTGCTTTTCGAACTTCAGCTGGGTTTGCACAGGCTTTTCTCCTTTGCTGGAGATAATTAAGAGCACTCTCGCCCCACAGCCCTAACCATACCCAAAGAGTTAAAACCGACAGGCATCTCCACGTGCTGACACTGATCCCAAGCACTGTTGGGGACTCCGTGGCAGAGAAGATGCCCGCTTATCTGCGTTCTGAGGTGGCCCTCATCCCTGACTTCCTCCATTCCCAGCGGACGACTGGAAACCACCTCACAAACCTTGGCATAGGGTGCAAGGTAATCCAGAGCTGTGACGTGCAACCGAAATTTGTGAGTCTTCGTGAATTTTCCGAAGCAGGTCCCCAGCGACACCAGCTTGTCACCGGAAATGTTGGCAGCCAACTTCAAGATCTTTTCACTAAGAGGATAAAGAAGTGGTGTCATGTACGGGCGCTGGTGGGACCCAGGCCCCCCACCCGGGGCCATGTTGCCCACCCTGCCCCGCCTCACCTCACGTAATACACCCGGTCGTTGTGCAACCTGAAACAGTAGGTGCCGTCGGGCCTGTCGATCAGCAGTTGGAGATTCTCCCCGATGCTGTAGGTAAAAAAAAAGACTGGAGGCCGCGTGCGAACGGACTGGTCCCGGTCCCGCGCCCCACTCCACCCCCGCCCCTTATCACCACAAGCACTCTCTCTTCTACCCCACGCGCTCTTACTATTTTGCTATCTTCTCAAACATGACACGAGTCTCCTCTTCAGTCAAAGGCCGCATTTTCCCGCTGTTGCCACACCTGCTCCTCGTGCCTCAGTCGCCGGAAGCGGAAGTCAACCGTGAGACTCTCCCTGGCAACCCCAACAGCCCACCTCTCATCGCTTCCCAGAGCCGCCGCAAGAGAAACCACAGAGAACGGAAGTGTACCTCCGCTGCTTCCGGTCCTAGATTTGGAGCCAGCGCCCTCTGTGGCCCCGAGGGGGAAGTGACGCTGCTGCCGGAAAAATGGCGGCGATGGCGACAATTCCATCTTCCACTCCGGCATCTGCCATGGCTTCTGCATCCTCCATTTCAGCCTCCGCCACAGCCACCGCAGCGGCTCTCGGGGAAGTGGAGGATGAAGGGCTGCTGGCATCGCTGTTCCGGGATCGCTTCCCGGAGGCCCAGTGGCGGGAACGGCCTGACGTGGGTCGGTACCTCCGGGAGTTGAGCGGCTCCGGGCTGGAGCGTCTGCGGCGCGAGCCCGAGCGCCTGGCGGAGGAACGGGCCCAGCTGCTACAGCAGACGCGCGACTTGGCCTTCGCCAACTACAAGACCTTCATCCGCGGCGCCGAGTGCACCGAGCGCATCCACCGCCTCTTTGGCGACGTGGAAGCGTCGCTCGGCCGCCTGCTCGACCGCTTGCCCAGCTTCCAGCAGAGCTGCAGGTGCGGCAGGCCCGGTGCTAAAGGGGCTTTTAAAGACTGTATTAAGTGTCATTTACCATGATAGAGATAGCTAACACTTACAAAGCGCTTACCATGTGTCAGGCTCTCCTCTGAGTACTTTATTACTCTATTTAAACTTCACAACAGCTTTGGAGGTAGGTACTGTTTTCCCATTTTATGTATGAGGAAGTTGAGACACGGAGATATTAGTGACTAAGGGCAGAGCTGTAATAAGTTTCAAAGCTGGAACTGGAACCTAGCTGCACGACTCTCCCACAGAGGGCTGGCTGTGTGAGCACTAAATAGAATTCAAAGAGAATGCAAAGCACTAAGAATTTGGCCTGACATACTTAACTATCTACAATTGGCAGCTTAATATATATTCATATATACAGAAATATACATAAACACACAAGTAGATACAACACGTACAACAGCTCAGACTAGAAGTTATCTGCTCCAAAACTTTCATTGATAGGAAGCTGACAAGGAAATCCTCCCACTTGGGGGCAGCGAAAATTGTCCCCCCAAATCCCTCTTTTTGAGTCATTCTGCTTCCCTTGATCCTCAGTCTATTGTCCCTAATTCTGGCTTCCAGCCTTTTATGATAAAAGTTTAAGTTTTCTTTTGAGTCTTTGGATATTTGATAATAGCTTTTATACCCTTCCATCCACCCCAGAATAGATAGAGGACTTCATAAAGCAGATCTCTGCCTTTGTGGAGAAGAAAGGGAAACTGGTGAGAACCAAGGTTAAACAATAGCATAGGAATAGATTAAGAGGCTGAGGGAACTTGAGGGTAAGGTTGTAGCCTCTAGGCTAGTTGATTATTTTGAAAATAATAAGTATATTATTAAAAGAACATTTACTCTGAGTCAGGTTCTCTGTTAAATGCTTTTTACACATCATCTCATAAATCTTACGTGGTGGGTCCTGTTACTTTACCAATGAGGAAACAGTTATGAAACTGCTAGTTAAGTGGCTTATCTGGGTTCAAACCTTTTTATCATTAGTTGTGTGATCTTGAACAGGTTACTTAACCTCTCTGAGATTAAAGTTTCCTAGGTGTACTTACAGGTTTGGCTTGAAGATTAAATCAGCTATACCATCCAGCCCAGTGCCCAGTTCGTAGTAAATGCTTGGTAATTATAGTTAAGGTTTGGGTGCGGAGCGATGAGCAACCAACATTCTCATTGTACTAGGAACTTTGTGAAAGAGGCTGAGGAGATTAGTTCCAACCGCCGGATGAACACCCTGACTCTAAACCGACACACGGAAATCCTGGAAATCCTAGAGATTCCTCAGCTCATGGACACCTGTGTCCGGAACAGCTATTATGAAGAGGCCCTGGAGCTTGCAGCCTACGTACGCCGACTGGAAAGGAAATACTCCTCCATCCCTGTCATCCAGGTAGCCAACTTCCCAAAAGAACTCAAACTGATGTTCTTGGGATCAGTAATTCTATGGTCGTCACTGAACCTTTAGGCAGAAACTGTAGGGAAACTCTGCACATTTCACATCAGTTTCTGCCAGACAGACATGTTTGAACAGTAAACATTCATTCATTCATTCAACTGAGAAATATTAATCTTTTGTGCCAGGCTCTGATCTAGGTCCTGCCTGTACAAAGTGAACAAAGACAAGGGGCTGGCTCTCATCAGTGTAAGATGATACTTGTCAAATAAACAGATAAACAACGTGATCCTTTCAGACAGTGGTTAATCATGGAGAAAACAAACCAGGGAATGGGGTAGGAGGAGACAGGGTGAATTACTCTAGGAAGAGCGGTCAGGAAAGGCTCTTCTGGAGAAAGAACAATTAAGCTGAGACCCAGATGATGGGAAGGACCCAGCCACACGTAGATGTGAGGAAAGAGCAAACCGGAAAGTGGAAAGGACAAGTACAGTCGGCTGAGGGGGGAAGTTGGCATGTTAAGAAATACAGACAGCCAGTGGGACTAGACCAGTGAGCAAGGGGAGAGCATGAGGAAGCTGCCAAGGTTCTGTAACTTCGTTGTAATTCCCGTTTGGTCCTGGGAGGAGGTTAGTGTAGCTTCCACCTGCTCTGTTGCCATCTTGGATCTCTGCATGTGTCAGCTCTAGGAAATCTTCGTATGTCAGGGAAGCAGTGGGAATGTTGATCTGTAATATTCAGAGTTAGTGGAATGGGTCCCAGAGAGTGCTTTTACAAACATATGACTCTATTGTCAGGGCATTGTGAACGAAGTGCGCCAGTCCATGCAGCTGATGCTGAGCCAGCTCATCCAGCAACTGAGGACCAACATCCAGCTCCCTGCCTGCCTCCGTGTCATTGGCTTCCTGAGGCGCATGGACATCTTCACGGAGGCTGAGTTGAGGGTGAAGTTTCTTCAGGCCCGAGATGCTTGGCTCCGTTCCATTCTGACTGCCATCCCCAATGATGATCCCTATTTCCACATCACAAAAACCATCGAGGCCTGCCGTGTCCATCTGTTTGATATCATCACTCAGTACCGTGCCATCTTCTCAGACGAGGACCCATTGCTGTCCCCTGCCAAGGGTGAGCACACCGTGAATGAGAGTGCTATCTTCCATGGCTGGGTACTGCAGAAAGTGTCACAGTTCCTGCAGGTGCTGGAAACCGACCTTCATCGGGGGATAGGTGGCCGCCTGGACTCTCTGCTGGGCCAATGCATGTATTTTGGGCTGTCCTTCAGCCGGGTGGGGGCTGACTTCAGGGGCCAATTGGCTCCTGTTTTCCAACAGGTAGCCATCAGCACTTTCCAGAAAGCAATTCAGGAAGCAATAGAGAAGTTCCAAGATGAAATGAATTCCTACACCCTCATCTTGGCTCCAGCCATCCTGGGCAGCAGTAACCTGCCTGCTGCTGTGCCAGTCACACAGCCAGGGACCCTGCAGCCGCCTATGGTGCTCTTAGACTTCCCACCCCTTGCCTGCTTCCTCAACAATATTCTGGTTGCCTTCAATGATCTGCGCCTTTGCTGCCCCATAGCCCTGGCACAGGATGTGACTAGGGTCCTGGAGGATGCCCTTGCTAAGGTGAGCACATACTGTTGGCTCTCTACTGGAACCTTCTTTTGCTACAGGAGACCAGACTTTGGTAATAAACCAGTCCATATGACAGTGGTGACTGCTGAGTTAGAGAGGTTTAGTGTGGTTTTGAAGGTTTTTAATGGCTGAGCAGCTCTTAACCAGTTAGTTCCCCATCATGGAATCTAAAGTGATCCATGAAGTGGCTCACCTGTAATAATGATCAGTGATGTGTTAGTTTTCTACTGCTGCATGACAGACTCCCACAGACATTTAGCATCCCCCAGTTTCTGTGGACCAGGAGCCCAGGCACAGCATAACTGAGTCCTCTGCTCAGGATCTCACAAGGTTGCAGTCAAGGTGTTGGCCAGGCTGTAGTCTCAGCTGGAGCATGGTATCCCCTTTCAAGCTCGCATTAGCAGATTTCTGTTCCTTGCATTTGTGAGGCTGAGGCCCTCAGCTCCTGGAGGCCACCTCACTCCATGGGCAGTTCAGACTGTGGCGTTGTGATTCTTTAAGGCTAATGGAAGACTATCTGCCCTGCATGAATCTCTTTTAGGGAAGTTCTCTCAGTCCTCTTTTAAAGGGCTCATCGGATTGTCAGGCCTGCTCAGGATAATCTCCTTTCGATTAATTCAGTCACTTCAATAGGATCTTTAATTATAACTGCAAATCCTTTACTTTTGCCATAATCTATGTTTGGGAACAAGCCACAGATTCTGCCTGAAATAAGGGGAGAGGATTATGCAAAGGAGTGGTACCAGGGGGTGGAAATCACAAGAGCATCTTAGAATTCTGCCTAACACAAGTAATGCTATTACCGCTGTTAGTATCTTATCATAGTGCACATTTTTCACACATTTACACCTTTAGATAGTGGGATGCTTCTCTGTGGTTGATAACCTCTCATAATCACTTTGAGCCAGGTGGCAATTGTGACGTGACTGTATAAAATCTATTGATATCCTCATGTAAGAGCAAGAAAGCACAAGCTCTGGAGCTTTTTAGAGTCAATGAAATTCAAGTAATAACAATTAGCTAATATTTACATAGAACTTACTCCATGCCAAGTAGTGTTCATTGTACTTGACACATATTAAGACTTGATCTTCACAACCCCATGAGGTAGGTCCTATTGCTGACCCTACTTTGTAGATGAGGAAACTGAGGCAGAGATGGCATGGAGGGCTTAAGTAATCACTTGGAAGTCACAGAACCATTAAGTGGCATAGCTAGGACTTGAACCAGGAAGTCTAGCACCAGAGTCTGTTATTGACCTTGTTAGCATGACTGGTCTGTCAGGTCAAGTAGACTGTTCTGTTCTTTGTATTTGGAACTTCTTTTCCAGCTGTTTCATTCTTCCTTCAAAAAGTTCTAGTGATCTAGTTTCCTGGAACCTTAAGCCCTTACTCAGTAAAAACCTTTCGTAGTTTTTGTTTCATTTTCCTGAATCGAACACAGTTCTAGATGGTCTTCCAGGGAATCAAGAACTATGTATTCTCTGTATAATTTCAGGATACTCTTCTACTGGAAAAAGCACCAGTAATGAAACACATTGGATCAGAAATACATCAATGAATAAAAACTAATTTCATAATTTAAAAAAATACATCAATGAAATGATAGCATTGTGGAGAGTGATAATTCTGAATTTAAACAAGATAATAATATAATGGACCTTTTGGAACAACTTTCTTCATGAAAAACTTGAGGGCTGCGCATTTGTGCTTAGTTTCATGCAAGGCTGATAGTGATATACTACTGCTGTAATGGACGGTACCTTTGTCTCTTAGGTAACCAAAGTAATCCTGGCCTTCCATCGCGCTGAAGAGGCTGTCTTCACCAGTGGGGAGCAAGAGCTCTTCATCCAGTTCTGCACTGTCTTCCTGGAGGACCTGGTTCCTTATTTAAATCGCTGTCTCCAGGTCCTTTTCCCACCAGCTCAGATAGCACAGACATTAGGTAAGAGAAAGCAGAAAAGACCCTTAAAGCTACTTTATTGATATAATTCACATAATAATTAATTCACCCATTTGTAAAATTCATTATGCTTTAGTAAATGAACAGAGATGTACAACCATTACTACCATCCAATTATAGAACATTTCCATCACGCCAAAAAGATCCCTCACGCCCAGTAATCATTCTCTTGTTCCACTTTTAGCCCCCGGCAACCATTTATCTGCTTTCTGATGCAATAGATTTGCTTTTTCTGGACATTTCATATAAATGGAATAATATAATATGTGTATATCTGGCTAAGTGGAAGAAGCTAATCACAAAAGAACCACATATTGTATGATTTCCCAGCTTGCCTTCACTTTCCTATATTCACTCTCTGCCCCTGGGGCGGGGGGTGTGGAGAATGGGGGAGACGGAACTTCCCAAAAGGCAATGGGCCAGTGCTCACACAAACAAAGAGTGGCCGTCCCCACTTACGCCCCACCCCCCACTTCCCCGGGGGACCCAGCATTTCTCTTGGGCCTGACACAGGAAGCCTGTGCCTACTGAGGTTCTCTTGGCTCTTACTCCCCCTACTCCATCCGCCCTGCAGTGCTGTTCTGCATTACCTTCAGAGTCTTGTTTTACAGTATAGAATCCTGTCCAGTGTCACTTATTATACTGAAATACGGTAATTGTGTCAGTTACTTCCACAAAGTTTCTTTTTTCCTGTGACACATCAGTATATACACTTGTTAAATGTTTTTCCATTTCACTTTGCCTACCATCTGGGTCAGGCATTCCACCCACTCAGCTCTCCAAGTACGGAAACCTTGGACATGTGAACATCAGCGTCGTCCAGGAGCCGCTCGCCTTCATCCTGCCGAAGAGAGAGGTGGTCTTCTGTCTAGATGAAAAGGAGCCAGTGCCGGAGCCCACAGCTCCAGCATCAGAACTCCCGGTGGAAGAGTCAAGCCTTGAGCCTGTCACTATGGCTTTCCCTGAGGAGAGGCAAGAGCAGGTTGAATCAGCGGAGCCACTAGAGGCCGAGGTGCCCAGTGCGAGCACTTAACACTGTTTCCCGCTCCCAGAACCAGGCTTACTGCAGCGTCCAGTGGGAAGGAGGTTGCTCGCCTCAGAAAACACGGGGCAGCCCCAAGGAAGAGGCTGCGAAAGCATGCATGAGAGAAAATTAGAAGAGGGACCTCCTGGTCAGTCCTTTTATAATGCAATTTAAAAATAAAGCTGATTGACACCCGGAGAAGCGGACAGTATTCTGTGGGCGGGAACTACGCTTCCCGGCATCCCTGGCGGCGGGAGCGCTGGGCTAAGGGCCCTGTGGAGGAACACGGCCGGGCTTGCGGCTCTACTCGCTTGCACCATGGGCCAACTGGGGGCCGGGCAGCTGCTGGCGCGGGCGTGTCGCCTCATGGGGCCGGCCCTGCCGTGGGGAGAGAAGGTGGCAGGCGGCGCCACCAGGGCCTGCAGCTCCACGCCCGCCGGGGATGGCCCCGAGGGACCGGCGCGCCCCCGCTCCTACTGGCGCTACCTGAGGCGTCTCGTGCGGGGAGCACCCAAGCCGCCGTACACACGCGTATGCCAGGTCGGGGACCCAATCCTGCGGGCCGTTGCGGCCCCAGTGGAGCCGGCGCAGCTGATGGGGCCCGAGCTTCAGCGGCTGGTGCAGCGGCTAGTGCAGGTGATGCGACGCCGGCGCTGTGTGGGCCTCAGCGCGCCGCAGCTGGGAGTGCCGCTGCAGGTGCTGGCCCTCGAGTTCCCTGAAGCTCTGTTCCGCGCCTGCGCGCCGCGCCTGCGCGAGGCCCGCCAAATGGAGCCCTTCCCCCTGCGTGTGTTCGTGAACCCGAGCCTTCGGGTGCTGGACAGCCGCCTGGTCAGTTTCCCGGAAGGCTGCGAGAGTGTCGCCGGTTTCCTGGCCTGCGTGCCCCGCTTCCAGGCCGTGCAGATCTCAGGTGCGGTATGGCAGGGTCCCTGAAGCGGCTTGGTAAGCGCGTGCATCTCTTCTGCCTCTGATCCCACAAGTTTCCATAAAGCTCCAATTCAAATACAGACTCGTTGATAGCTGATCAGCAGAACCTCCCGGCATGAACATAGGACAGGACCTGGGAATGGACGGGACTTGGGAATAACAGATTGGGTTGGGAATGAAGCCCCTGTGAGAGTACAGCCAGCTCAAGTAGGGGAATGGAGTGGGAGGTATACAGTGGGGTTGTTAAGATGGCTTGGGTCCTGTTTCCCCACATCCAGGCCCTGCCCAATGCCTTTGCTCACTGTCTGTCACACACACACACACCTGCCCCAATGATATCTGTCATGGTGGAGTGGGCAAAGTGGCATCTGCTTTGCCCAGCCCTGGGTGACAAGCCATTCCCTCTCTGCTATACCAGGATGTTTTGTGGAATGTGGTTTCTTCCTGTTTGGGATGATTGTTCCTCCTGAGCAAGCCACTTGGTTCATGAGGGTCAGAAAGTCAGTGGTATTCCTTATTTTATATTGTACCAAACTGAAATACTTCTGTTAAGAATTGAAAGCAAACAGCAATACTTTGGAAACAGGAGGAGTGTTCAGAAGAGAAGCACCTTATTAGGAAGATCATTTCTCATCTCATCTCCATAGTAAGCCCAGCAACCTAATTGTTAAAGTTGGGAACCAGGTTGACTGCTTGGTAATACAGACAGAGCTGCAGCATCTTTTCTAGGGAGGTAAGAAATGCTATCTGAGTTCCCTTCTGATGTTCCCTCCTGTAAACAGGAACATCCAAGGGCAGGGAAAGGGCCAGGCGGTTCAGAATGATGAAGTTGAGCATGTCCTCACCCAGACTGTAACTTCCTTTGCAGGGCTGGACCCCAGAGGAGAACAGATGGTGTGGCAGGCCAGTGGGTGGGCAGCACGCATCATCCAGCATGAGATGGACCACTTGCAGGGCTGCCTGTTCATTGACAAAATGGATAGCAAGACATTTACAAACATCCACTGGATGGTGGTGAATGACTAAAGCTTTCCTGCTGCATCTGAGGATTCTGAAAACCTACACAAACATGTCGGCTTGGAGCCGGGCACGTCTTACTTGGCATCAACTTGGCCCTGACAGAAAACAATAGGCTTCTGAAGCCTGCCAGACCGAGTTGGAGGATGGTGTTAAAAATGATTGCCCCAAAATGATCTATGAAATATTGCTTTCAACTTGAGAAGAAAAATGACTCCCTGAAGGAGTGGATATTTCCTAATAAGCTTGTATGGAGATGAGTGGGGCAGTAACCACTCTCATTAGACATGACTGACATGACTTCCTAAGACCTATACGATCTATTTCCAAAGCCAAGATTTGATAATAAATGCAGTCACAAAAGATCTGAAAGCCGTGTTTAAAAATGCAGGTTGACTTTTTTTTTTCCAAACTCATTTTTTACAAGGGATTTGTGTACTTCTTACCTACAGGGTCCTTCTTTGCCTTGAACACCAGTGTGCTTGTGGAAGTAAACACAGAACAGAATGGCCCCAGATCATGGAAGTGTTTAGTGAGGATATTAGCATAAATGAGTACCCGCACATTTTGATAGGTTCAGATAGAGTTTAGGTTTCCACCTTTTGCCTTCAACCTTTAACAGATGTGGAGGAAGACTTTTATTTTGAGATTTCCTAGGCAGCTGGTGCTTGGCTAGTTCTTGTATGGAGACCCTGGAGCAGGGCTAAGGGAAGGGTAATGGTTGAGAGGAAGTCAGTGAGCTTCCCTGTCACAATTAGAAGAGAAAGCAGAACTGTGCTTCCTGGATACTGCACTCGTTTTGGAAAAATAAATTAGCATCACGATTACTGACCGGTGTTTAACCTTAAGATCCTGTCAGGTGAAGGAATTTGTTTCTTTAGGTACTTGTCTCACCTCATTTTTACATTGACTTTTACGTCATTGGTATTTTACCGAAGTCCTCCAAGTACCCATGTAGTAAGAAGTCCAATAAGTTGTTTGGAGAAAACATGTTTTAAGCAGCAGTTAATTAAACGAAACCAGGAAAGAACCACTCTCCTCTATGCCTTTCTCTAAATAAGGCAAGTCTGGAGGGCCTGTGAGGACAAGGGGAAGTGAACTGGCTCTCTGTGCGTTAAACTTTGGAGAGGAACAGGACCTCGCACTACCCCAGGTAAGGTTAGACCATCGACCATTGGGGAAGTCTGTAGGAAGTTCTCAATAGTGAAAACACGGGTTCTTTGGAAAGTCAGAATTCACTTCTGAACACGATGTTCAGAAGCTCTTGTTGGTTGGTCCTCAGAACATTCTGATGCTTTCTTATAGTGCTCTGAAGTTAATAGTCCGTACTAGCATTTGGTTTCAGCTTCCTGACCTTGAGGCCCAGGAGTTAATGATTGCTCAGAGTGGACCCTAGAGAAAGCCAGAGGTTATCTCTCTTGCTGACAAATAGGAGATTTACTGTTGTGAACAAATCCACACAGAAGAAAGGATTTGGTCTACCAGTTAAGACAATACAACCCAAAGGCAAATGCTTGCATTTCCAATAAAGAAATTCTCTTCCACCTCAGGCAGATGTGTTAGCCATAAAACCCACACATGATCAGCATCTGGAGCTAATGAGTGTTAACAGGTAATGAGAATTGGCTGTAGTGAAAGCCAATGTAGGCAGAAGGTTCAGAACAGAATTCCTGGTAGGGAAGAAGTGGATTTCAGAATAAGCATTTAGGGGAGGAAATTCCTCTGCAGGTATTAGTCATAATTAACAGAGCCTGTGAGGCCGCAGAGTCGGTCTGAGGCTAGTTCAGCCTTAGTGGGTGCCTGAAAGCTGTGACTGGAGCCATGACGATGAACCCTGGCAGCCCTAAAGTGTCTGTTAACCCCTGTGACTTGTCTAGGCCTTCAAGCAGTAGAAATGAGGAAGCAGGTTTAAAAGGAAAAAAAAAAGGCAAGGACCTTCTGACTGAAGTAAAGGTAACTAGAGGTATGTGAGAAAATAAAACTAAACACAAGGTTAAAATGAAACAGTACAGGCAGGGGGCAGTGTCTTATCCTGGTGTCTAGTCCAGCATTTACAAATATAATTGGTGGCTGAGGGCACGTAACTCACTAAGAAGCATGTGGGAACTCCAAGAGCAAGTGACAAAAATTTCAGTCACAGTTGCTGCGTAAGTGTCATCTGAAGGTCAGGCAGGCTGGTGCTCTAGGGAACGAGGCAGGGCTGACCCACCAGCAATGGAGAGCAGCACGGAGCCTGAGCCCAAGCCTTCAAGAAACTAAGCAAAAGTTGGCTCAATTTAGCAGACACTCCTAATCGGATCAAAGAACCACCACAGTGCAAGTATAAAACAATCTAGGAGTTGGCTGTGCACTCAGTTCTGGACCATTTGGTTTTGAAGATACCAGTCCAGGGAGGGGAGTAGGGCTGGTACCGGGGCCAGGCCTTTTCTGCGTTCACAGATGTTTGTGGTCAATCTGAGTCTACTCACATTGAGGTTAGCCTCAATGGTCAGTAGACCATTGAGGTCAGTAGAGGTCAGCCTCTACTGCTTCTGCTCCCTGTCAGACAGCATTTCCAAGGCTGACCCTGGAGCCTTGGGAGTCTCACAATCAAGGGTCACAAGTTCAAATGGCCAGAGGGACTAGGCAAACAGTGCAAATGTGCGAACAGGCCACATGGGGACAGTGAACTGCGGAGCATGTAAGGCCATCCCTGCTCAGCAGCAGCTGATAGGTTGCCTCAAGGGGTCTCGGGCCCAGCATTACCTAACTGAATTTTTATATCTATTCTTGACTTTTGGTAGCAAAGCAAAGCAAACAGCTACAGGCCACATCTGGCTCACAGGCCTCCCAATTTGACACTCTGATCTGGAGGCTGGACAACAGGAAGCAAAACTCAAGTCCCTCAACACCCTCGGCCACACTTTCCAGTCCCTGGGAAAAGAAAGGTCTTGCGAACCCGTCTGGAGTACAGGCCTAGGAACAGCAGCAGTTGGTGACATTCCTCCTTCCTACTCTGCAGAAGAAGAGACAGCAGAGAAAACCAGAAGGAGGAGTTTCTAGTGCAAGCAGGCATGGCCTTTGAAGAGCTCCAGACAAGAGTCAAAGAGGAGATCACTCAGGTGGCTCAAGAAGGGAAAAGGATTTATTAGCCCATTTCCAGGACAGGGACCCGGGGCCAGTGGCTGGGCTGTGTTCTCACATTCAGAGGGAAGAAAAGGCAGCAGTGAAACCCGCCTGACTGCCTCCACTCATTCTGATTCACACAGCTCTGTGCTCACAGAATTGTCTCCTCCTACAAGGAGGACACAGGGCGCAGGATGCCAACCTAGGAGGGTGTGAACGGCCTGGCTTTACTCTTGACCTTTACAGGCAGACCTTGGGCTGGGGATCCAGGGCATCGGTCATTCTTCACAAGGAGAAAATCTGGGTCTGAAAGGAACGAGCCATGGGGGGTCTGCAGGTCTGCTGCACCAACCCCACAGCACGGGCTGCTCCCACTCCTTGATGTTTCCAGGTGATTTTAACTTTATTTATAAACAGATGAAAATCCAAGCAGCATTAATTTAGGAGAACAAAAAAAGGTTTAAAAAAAATACAGAGGGGCAGGACAAGGAGTTGGTGAGCATCCAAGAGGAAGAGGAGGAAGTAGGAAGAACCAGTATCTCACTGGCTGCCGAATGTACTTCTGCGTCTCTGTGCCTGGGAGCCCCTTCCTTCCTGCTCCTTGACTGGCGGCCAGACAGCAGAGGGGACGCTGTAGGGACTTTCGGACAAGCCCTGGAGCCCTGTCTGGCCGCCGACATGGGGAGTGCATGAATTTACCCCAATCAACTTCCCACCTTCACCGTCACCAGCGTGAAGAAGCTTTTAACCCTCCTGTCCAAAGTCCTCTGAGAATTTCTTCACTTTCAGGAGGTCATCTGCATTCACGGTGGGCCGAGTGGTGGCCAAAGACCGGAGCATGTCCGACTGCAAAGACAAGAATGTGTGGCTGAGGAGTAGCCGGGCTCCAGGCCTTCAGCCTCCCAGCGTCGCAGACCCATGCAGTCTAGGGTAGGAAGAGGCCGGCGTTTGAGGTCAGCCCCAGCCCCAGACACAGAACTCCCTGTGGCTTGCCTGGCTTCTGCTCAAATGCTTCCTGTCAGGGATGCTCTTCCCTCCTGAGGCAGCTCATGTCACCTCCAGATGGGTCTACTTCCGGTCTGACGGAATCTAAGATCCCATCATCTCTTACCTCCTGTGAGAGGCTCTTTCTAACTGTACGCCCACCACACCAGCCACAAAGCTGGACAGCTGCCACGGAGAATGGGCAAGACTAGGATAAGGGGAGGTTAAGACTAGCCAGGTGAGAGGCTGCCTGTGCAACTCCACTCAATCACGTGGCCCTGACATTCATTTGCTGGTTCCTTCTGTGTGCAGAACAAGCCAACCCCGTGGAATAAGGCAGTCACATCACCTGGCCTTTACTCTTTTGCTGAAGAAAATAAAATTCTAATATTATGGCCTCCATCCTGGGCTCTCACTGAGTCTAACAGCAGGAGCTCTAGCTACTCAGAACCCCAAAGGTCATTCTCTGTTTAGGAGGAGCCACCACAGCCTAGCACAGGAAAGGGGAGAACATTATTTTTATTTTTGGAGACAAGCCCCCAATTTTCCAGCTGTGCAGTCCTCCCTGCCAGATGGCCACTTACCATGCAAACCACAGGCTCTAAGAGTTTGTCACTAGGGACATCCATCCAAGTCATCTCCATGGCCCCTGGGTCCCCTGGTGAGCATGGCGTCAGGAGGTCATTGATCATAATGCTAGGGTTGGTGCGGGAAGGGCCACAGACCTGAAACCAAACAGGAATTTGATTGGCTGAAGGGGCTGCCCCTTGGTTTTGGAGGAAAGGGCAGGACACCTCAGATTTCTGGGTCTTGAAGAGAAGGTAATGGCAGGATATGAATGAATGCCTGGGTTTCTAGGTCATTGTCTGAGGAGGGATGGGCTCCTTCAAAACTCTCAGACTGAGTAGTCAAAGGAGCTTGAAGTTTGATTTCAGAAGTTCAAGATCAGCATGCTATTCCAGCCACTGTCCTCCAGAATTTCACTTTGTGGCCCCAAATATCCTGGTATCTTCTTCCTAATTAACTCAAGTTTCACCATGAGTGCAGCGACATCAAAAATGTTTTTCCAACTGAAATCTCCATTGGCAACATTCCCCCAAATATTCGAAGGTTCCTTCCCTCACCTTCTTCAATTCTTGACTCGAATGTCACCCAGTGTGGCCTATCCTTTAAGAGTGCAACCTGCCCCTCCCCCTCCAAACCTCAGAAATGCCAGACCGCCCTTCCCTGCTCTCTTGCCCCTCACCGCCCTCTGAGAAATGGGTCTGTTTTGGTTGCTGCTTGACTCCTCCACTAGAAAGGAGGCTGCTGGAAGGCAGAGATTTCTGTCTGCTGTGGTCGGTTACTGATGTCTCCCCAGCATCCAGAATGAGACCAGGCACACAGCAGGGCCCTCGGCAGACACTTAGCAGATCTGCTGCATGGAGTTCCTCCTTACGGTGTGTGGCTTTGTACCCACAACTTTTTAAACACAGAGTCAGGCCCACCACACACACTAGCACAGTGCTGACGGTGAGGGTGGCGGAGGTGTCTGCCATGGTGCCCTGACCTCTAGGTTCACACAATCTGAGATGGTCACTCTCAAGCAAGAACTGCAGGGGAGGGGAGAGCAGATACAACCCTGACCCCTGGAACTAAAGGGTTCACTCCGCACTTGCCCTTGGTTCTCCAAGAGACCCAAGGTGTGTCAGCTGGCAAAAGAAGCTGATATCCCTTTTCTTGTGACACTTTCTAAGCAATTCCTTGCTGGCTCACTCACCTTTTTGAAGTGTGTTGCTGACTGTACTTTTCTAACAGGCTGCATGAGGGAGTCCCGCACGATGATGCTGATGTCTGCACCTGAGTAGCCTTCTGTCTTCCGAGCCAGCTCATGAATATTGGCGTCCGTGAGGTTATGGGGGGTGCTACCCAGGTGCAAGCGGAACATCTGGGCACGGGCAGCCTCCTCTGGCAATGGGATGTAAATCCGCTTTTCAAACCTAGAGAGCCAAGCACACGGCTGGACTTGAGAGCAGATGGAGGAGGAATCAATGCAGGGGCACAGCGGGGCCCTCCAGAGCCGGCTTCATTCGGGGCACTGCTCATCATGCAGACACAGAGAAGCCTCCGGAAAAATGGGGTCAGGCTGCATCCCCAGCTGCCGGTGGCACGTTGACCATGGCCAGAGAAAGAGCTCAGCCCCTGGCTCCTACTGGGGAAGACTCACCTCCTTCTAATGGCCGAATCCAACACCCACGGGATGTTTGTGGCACCAAGAACCAGAGTCCCATCGTTGTTATTCCCCACCCCTACAGACAAAGGGAAACACAGACGCTAACTCAGTACACCTGCAAGGATACCCAGTACACCTGCAAGTCAAAACCTGCATGAAAGAGCCTCGGGGACTCTGTACTCAACTGAAGCCATCCCTGTGTCACATGCTACAGGGGGGCACTATCTAGCTGCCCTGGAGCAAAGAGCCCCGATTCCTGCCTGCCTCAGAAGGGGCACGGCGTGGGGGCGGAGGCGGGGGGAACAATGCTGCAGGGACCTCTCCACAATGAAAGCCTGAGGAGATGAGCTTAGAACTGCTTCTGAAACCAGGAAGGAAACCCAGGAAGAGCACGCACCCTGCATCTGGACCAAGAACTCTGTTTTGATCCTTCGGGCAGCCTCACTCTCATTTTCATTGCGGGATCCGCAGAGGGAATCCACCTCATCGATGAAGATTATGGAAGGCTTGTGCTGCCTGGCCAGCTCAAACAGGTTCTTGACTAGCCTGTGAAGGTGAAAAATGGGGCTGGCACCTGGACAGCCACACACAGGCCCGGCCAGAGTCCCAGTCACCACTTCTGTCACCCTTCCCACTGGGAGGTTGAGACTCTAGTCATGCCTGTGTGTCAGAAAACACAGCAGTAACAAATCCTCTGGCAGCTCTGCACCGAGAGGAAGCGCAAGCCTGACGTCAGCTTCAGTCCTGGCGGCCCCCTTCACTAGCTCTGGATTTAAGACAAGCCACTTCCCTCCCTCTCAGCCTCAGTTTCATCGTCTGCACAACAGGAGTTGGTATGGGGAGTCAGTTAACTCCGAAGTCCCCAGCAGAGGATGCTCACCCGATACCCAGTTACGGGGAGTGCCCTTCTCTTCTCAAAGACTCATCTCTCCCAAGTTCCCTTCCAGTTTCAGCTGTCCTAGTCAGGACAGCACCCCACCCAACAAGCTAGCAAGATAACCCTCTGTTGGTCACGGCTGCCTAACATCCGATGGCAGCTCCTCTCGGAGGTGACCCCACAGGCAGGGATTCTGGGCCACCCGCAACTGCAGGGGTTGGCCGCAGAGCAGGGCCTGGGGGCTGACTTACTTCTCACTCTCCCCCAACCACTTGGACATCAAGTCTGAGGAGGACACAGAGAAGAAGGTGGAGTTGTTGGCCTCTGTTGCCACCGCTTTGGCCAGGTAGGATTTCCCTGTGCCAGGGGGTCCGAAGAGCAGTATCCCTCGCCAGGGGGTACGCTTGCCTGCAGGAAAGAATGAAGTTAGCTTCCTTCTGACTGGGGGAGGGGAACAGAAAAAGCAGAGGGGCCTTAGTTACTGTAAATGCAGTCGGAAATGAGAAGTTCTATAACACACTGATTCTAAAAGCAAAGGAGCAAAGGGAATTAAATTACCCGCCAAGAGCCTGGTCTTAGCCCTGGCTCATGACCCATGTGACTTTGCAAAGTGACAGTGGCTGGCACTTGGTTCCTGACCCTGCCCACCCACTGGGACAGTCAAGTCAAAGTTCTAGTCATAAAGGTGTTTCTGACACCAAGAGAAGCCAAGGATTAGATGACCGCAATGGGCACGTCCTGGGGCCTTTCCCAGTGGGAGCCCCGAGAAGGCCAGGCCTCATCCACTAAGGGCAAAAGGAGCTGAGTCGCCACCTGCTCCTGAACACCTTCCGAGTGGGAGCCTTGAGCTTGCTGCCTCAGAAGCCTGAGGTTTTTACATCTGGGCCTACAGTGGCTCAACCCTTACCTGTGAACAAGTGTGGGAATTTAATTGGCAATATGACAGCTTCTTTGAGGGCCTCCTTGGCCCCCTCCAGCCCGGCCACATCATTCCACCGAATGTTGGGCTTCTCCATCACGACGGCACCTGCAGAGGGAGGTAGAGCCTTCAACCCAGAGCCCCCACCCCCGCCCGCCCCCAGCATAACAGTGGGCCTCGAGCCTCTTACCCATCAGTTGTTCTTGCAATTTCTTTTTCTCTGGATTATCCCCTTCACTGTCACTATCGCTGCTGGGAAAGGAGACAGAAGATGATAGGCTGGAGCAAGAGGAGGCTGGTAAGGAGGCTCTCAGAGCGAGGCCAGGCTCTGGCTGCCAGCATGGTGGTTAAAGGGATGCTTTCCCTGTTCAACAATGGGGACGGACCCACAAACAGTTACCCCGAGGACATTCGGAGCCTACATGAATCCTCTAGGAAACTCTCATAACCCATCCTGGTTGCTTCATTAAGGGTGTAAGAACAGAGACATGTGCCCTTTCTAGAGCCTGGTGAGGGGCATGTGCTTTGGCTGGACTTCAAGAGCAGCCAGGCAAGGCAATTGGAGCTCTCACTGGCCTCTCATATGGACTCAAAACCAGACAGCAAGTGGCTCTGACTTGGAGAAGAGGTAAGTCTTCTTAGGTCTACAGGGGAACACCTGGAAAAGAAACACAGTCGCTGTTGTTCCCCCTCCCCCAGCCTAGACCAATCCCTATCCGGATATAAGTGACTTGCCATCCTCAGAACTCCTGCAGCCCTCCTGGAGATGTTTGGCTTCCTGTCTCTTCTGTGGTGGGTCTCTCACTCCAGGAAATTCTTTGCACCCAGGGACAGAGCCTCTCATCTCTGGTGATGCAGCTGACACAACACCCACCTCTTTCTACTCCTTGGCCATCCTGCCTAGGATCTTCCCCTTACCTCCAGGACACCACTGGCCTTTGTGCTCAGATAACTGGAATCTCCACAGTGAGCAAACCACAGACACGAGGAGAGAAAAGTGCAGAGGGAACACTGGCTCTGGAGTCAGAAACACTGGCCCTGGTATGGGTACAGACTCCACCAAGTTCCAGCTCTGCAACCTTGGCAATCTCTGAACCTCTGAGTCTGTTGCTTCACAGGTCAAAGAGGACACCTGACAGCAACCGCAGCTTGACATTATTTAACCCTGACTGCGCACCAAGCTCTATTCTCAGGGCCTCACCCCATCATCTCATCTGCTCCCTAGAGCAACACTAGGAGTGAAGTCCCATTGTCTTCTTCCTCCTACCGATGAGGAGCCTGGAGGCACAGGGGGCAGGGAGGGGGAGGTCATGGCCCTTGTAAAAAGTAGCAGAGCCACTTTCTGGGTTATACCCAGAGGGTCTGGCTGCAGAGTCCAAGGCTAGTAACTGCCAGGCTGGCTGCCCAGCCCAGATCCAATGAGACAGTGTACACAGAAGTATTCTGCAAGTGCTTGATGCAAGCAGCTATGCGCTGCTCTGAGTAGAATTCCCCAAAAGAGGTGCTGTGGAAGTCCAAGGCAGCATTAGTACCAAAAATGATAGCACCACAGGAATAGGGCACACCCTTGTGGGGGCTCTGGTCCTGGTAGATCCTGCACTCCTCCACACTCACCCCTTGCTCTCACTCTGATTCTCCTTGACTGGCTTCTTGCTGTGTTTCTCCTTGTTCCGCAAATAATCCTTCAGCTTCTCTGCCCGGTCTAGGTACTGCATGCACTTGGCTCGAATGCTCTCCTTGGCCTTGTCACTGTGTGCCTCATCTGCAAAAGGAGAAGCAAGAGAGGCCCTGTGAGTCCGCAGGGGCCCACTCTCCTCTCACAGGGGCTCGGTGGCTGGGGAGGGCCCTCGTGTGACTCACATTTGATAGCGTGTAGGAAATACTCCACAGCATGCTGGTAGAGTCGGAGCGCCTCCTCGTAATTCTTGGCTTTATCCTCTTCTGTGGCTTTGGTCACCAGATCAATGGCTTTCTGAAAAGGCCAAGTGAATAGCTCAGTGCTTCCCAAGGGATCCCAAAAGCCTTTAGGGTACCAGGCAGCAGGAATACACTGATGAGAGATATTGCCAAGCCTGGGAATTAGTCAGTTGCAGACCATTATGTCGGCCTACTTTTCCAACATCAACAGGAAAGGCCTTAAAAGGATGTTTTAAAAGACAGCCATCCCTCTTCACAAGGCACTCAATGCAGTGAAAGCGGCCTCCTCCTCAGCTGTCACTCTGGCTTTCAGCAAGTGGAAGCCTGATGAAACAGCTCAGGTTATGGTTCACAGGGAAAGTTCAGTGTCTATTCCGTACCTCAAGGGAAAGAGAAATGGACCCTGACTCAGAGCCTGGAACAACAGGAACACCAGAACCAACTGATTCCTGTGTTGTTCAGCAGGGAGGCCAGAAAAAGCACTTGACCTCGAGGGCCAGAGAAGAGCCAGCCAGCAATAAAGTCTTTCATTGACCTGAATTTTACAAGATGGACTTAAAGGGATCTGCGGGCCCAACCTGCTTATCTAGGCTGAAGAGAGATGGTTTCATCAAATTGATACCTAGACACATGGGTCAATACACCAGCACCTCCAGTATTAAAAGTGCTGGCTTACCCCACAGGCACATATGTGCTGCAAATTGAGGGGAACAGCCCTCTGGAATCTTCTAAGAACTCTGTGAGAGTGTCTTTGTGCATCTCATAAATCCTCTAGCCTGTGCTCTAGACTGAACTTGAAGCACGCTGGATCTTTCAGGCAGCTGCCCCACACTTACACATCCCGTTTCAAAAACCACAACTTCGCCAACCCAGGAAGCATTCCCAGAATTAGCATCCTCAAGCTGATACGGCACTAGATACCAGGCAGGCCGATCCCGCTGCTATACACACAGTTCCATCCACAGCAAACAATAAACCTCCTGACCAGCTCTTGGCAGGGCCCAGGCATTTGTGCGGCCCTTCCCCATCTGAAAGCAAGAAGTCTCAGAAAGAACACAGATAGCCCTACAAAACTAACATGGGTAGGCCAGGCTAAGTTGATGCTAACTCACCAGGTTGAAGAGATGAGGAAAGGTGAGAGTGCAGGCTCCTATTTTCAAGCTTCAGCTCCCTCCACTACCTACAAATAGAGAATGGCTAGGAGCCCTAAACCTTCCGAATGGATTAGCTTCAACACAGGCTTCACTTGTCTGCTCTCTCCCCCATGACAGCCCTTCAGATAACACATGAAAGGAGTGTCCCTGTTCCCAGTGGTTCTCTTCTCCAGAACAAATACCCCCAGTTCCTTGGACTTCTTCGCTCTACACAGCTTCTTGCTTAGGTTTGTCCTTTTGAAAGATGGGGACAGAACAATACTCCAGGTATGTGGCAGAGCAGGCCCATCTCTTCCTACCTTCTTGATACTACATTAATGAATGCACTTAACATTTTTCTGCCACCCACATACAGTTTTTCAGGTGCAAGAGGCCTCACGTGCAATTTGGAGAGGGACAGCTTTGCATAACAGGAGGGTAAGGTGACAAAACTGCCAGCCCTGCTGCACCTGTAGTAACAGGTATCGCAAAAGATGAGGATGAAAGAAAAGGGATGTGAAAATGTACTAACAAGAGGAGCTGGCAAACTTTCTGTATATGACCAGACAGGATATATTTTAGACTTTGCTGGCCATACAATCTCTGTAGCAACAATTCCTCCCTGCCTTGGTAGCCCCAAAGCAGCCACAGACAATACATAAACAAGTGAGCAGGGATGTGTTCCAATAAAACTTTATTTATAGACATTGAAATCTGAATTTCATGATTTTCACGTATCCTTTCAGCCTTTTAAAAATGTGAAAGCCTACAACATGTTACATGAAAGAAGCCAGTCACAAAGGACTTCATACTGTATAATTTCCATTTATATAAAATGCCCAGAATAGGCAAATCCATGGGCACAGGAAATAGATTAGTGGTTGCCAGGGGCTGGGAGAGAGAGAGGAGTTGTGGGGGGGGCGGGGTGACAGCTACAGGGTACAGGTTTCTTTTGGAGTGAGTGATTGTGGTGATGGCTGCAAAATACTGTGAATATACTAAAAGCATTGAATGGCACACTTTAAGTGGGTAAATTGTATGTTGTATGAGTTATATCTTAATAAAAACGTTTATAAAAAATATGTAAAAAAAATACACTCTTAGCTCACAGGCCATACAAAAACTAGGCAGGTGGGACCTGCAGGTGGAAGTTTCCCCACTGTTCCTGCTTTTTCCTCCACCCGAAGCAGCCATCTCTCCTCCACCTCCAGGAATCTGAATGGTTACCCATCCTTTTATGACCCCTCCGAATGCCACTTCTTCCAGGAAGTCCTGTCTAACTCTCGCAAGCTCTGTATCTGTCATCACTTAACTGAGCACTTACTATGTAGCTGACACCATGTTAAGAATGCTTTACCGGAATCTAGAATCACTGTTACAAAAACCTTACTCCAGACACCAGGATCATGTAACCAGCCCAAGGTCACATACTAGTGTGGGTGGCAGAGTCGACATTCAAACCCTGGTCGGAGGCCTGCCCATGTTTATGTTTTCCGGCCAAGCAGGACTGGCAGCAATTGGGTGGGTCAGTCACGCATCCAGGTGGCGCCACCCCAGCACCACCCTGCACAATCTAGGCAATGAATGAAGGGTCGTTGGCCGAAAAGAGGAAATCGGAGAGCAGGGAAGAAGCAGGGGCTTGCTGGAAGGGAGGCAGGAGGGACAGGGACAGTGAGCAGCCGGGCTACCGGCCCGAACGTCCCAGGCGGCGCCTATGAGGCCCGGGTGAGGCTGAGCCCCACGGCGGCCTCGGGGCTGTCAGCTGCACGTAGCGGCCTCGGGGCTCGGGGCTCGGCCAGGCCAGGAGGGCCGGGCGTTCTGGACCGGAGGTGGCCCTCGGCTCCGAGGGCGTGAACACAGAAACCGGCGCAGGCAGCCACGGGGCGGCGGGGCTCTGAGAAGGCCCCGCGCCCGCCCAGGCTGCCGGCGCGCAGGCCCCGCCGCGCCTCCTGCGGCCTCCGCAAGCCGGACGGGCCGCGCCGAGGTACCTGGAGGGTTGACGTTGTCATTTCATCTCCTGGGTCCGCCTCACACCCCGCGGCGCTGCTTGCGGGCTCGGTCCGGCCTCAGAGAGCCGAGGTACTGCGTCCGGCGCGGGGAAGGGCGGCTGCTGGCAGCCGGAGCGGCGTCCGAGAACGAGAGAGGAACGCGGCCCAGAGCGGTCAGGTCTGAGCAGCGCGGCTGCCCCCAGCGGTCACAGCCAGCACTGCAGGCACCGCTGTCTGCGGCCCAAGCTAGGACACGGCGGGGGCGTGTCGTGGTGGGCGTGGACGTGGGCGTGGCCCTGAGCTCTTGAAGAGTTGGGTGGGCCCTGGGGGCGGAAAGGGACGAGGGGGCGGGGCCAGAGGCAGGGCTGGGTAGAACCTCAAGTCCCAGACCCCACTTTGAATGAAACAGCGCCTATAGGGCAGCTTTCCTGGCACAGTAAACATTAGTTCCCCGAGCTCTGTGTTCCTGATGTTTAATGGGTATACTAATAATCAGTAGCTACCTTTTCTGGCTTTTGAGGGTAATGAATGAGCTAGCTAATGCAAACACAGTGTACTCCACAGGGTTCAGTCTCTGGTAATTTATGAGACCCATGGCTCTGTCTAACGGCATTTTTTGTTGGAGGTAGTTTTTGTTGTTTTTCATATTAACACTTCTACCTTCCTCTTTTTAAAAAATCGGTTTCCTTAAGCCTTTATAGCTAGGGGGTTTATTCCAGTGAACTTCAGTATAGCAGGTTGGTTGTTCACATTCATTCATTTAACAACATTTAGTCAATACAGACGATGTGTGGAGCTCTGTAGTTTCTGGGGATACAGCAATGATAAAAACAGCTCTAGAGGAGTCTGCAGTCTAAGGAGAAAGATGATGTACATCAGGAAAAACTATGTAGTAAGCCTGTGTGTGAAGACCCATGTGCTATGTGGGCTTCTAACAGCCAATTGCCCAAGATAGGGGGTTAGGAAAGGTTCCCATTAATTAAAGGATGAAGGGGCTGGGGAAGAACATTCCAGGTTGATGAAACAGCCTGTGCAAAGGCCCTGAGTCCCTGAGGAGGCCACTGGTGGAATTGAAGAAACTGGAAGAAGAATCAGATAGCCAGAGAGCAGAAACTGGTAAGTCAGAGCCTGATGAAGCGATATCAGGGAGTTTGGAAGGGGCCAGGACATTTGGCTACAGTCAAGGTTTTGGGTTTTATCCTAAGAACAATGAGAAACTTTTTTTTTTTGATAGATGACTCTAGCCCTCATATGCACAACAGATTGCAGGGGTGGGGTGGCTATTTTATATGAAGCTATTGCTGTGGTCCAGAAGAGTAAGGGAAGCTTGGACTGGGGGGAGGGGGACTTGGAGAGACATACACAGAACGGGGAAGTTTTGGAAGACAAATCGTAAGTGCTCAGAAGTAGATTAGATATGGAGTATGGTGAGGGGCACGAGGGGACTCCTGGTTTGCTGGCTTTAGCACCTGGACCAATGGCGGTACCACTGAGATGGAGAGTACTGGACAAAGATCAGGTTTGGGGCAGGGGATGGAGGGGAGAAGAGTTTTAGGTGCCTTCGAAATGTCAAGTGTCAGATATGTGCATCTGGAAGTCAGAGTAAAGATGAGGGCTGCAGATGCACATCTGAGAGACATCTGGGTATAGGTGGGAATGGAAGCTGTGTGAATAACGTCTCCTAGGGAAGAGTAGAGTATTGGGTGAGGTGAGGAGGGAGCCTGGGACAAAGCTTGGAGGTTTGTTTAGCCAGCCAGAGGAGGATGAACCTGCAAAAGATGCTCAGAAAGACAGCTGGAGAGGTAGGATAGCCAGAAGAATGTCTTGGATGTCAAGGGAGGGGCACGGGAGGACTGTGAATAAGGAGAGGGGAACATAGTACCTAATGCAGCTGAGAAGGCAGAAAGTGATATATAAGATACTGGTGACCTCAGCCAGAGATGTTTCAGTAAGTGATGGACGCAGAAGCCATACTGCAGAGGGTTGGGAGTGAGTGGGCCATGAGGACATGTAGTCCATCAGGAGGCACAACTCTCTCAAAAAGATTGGGGAAAAGAAAGGGAGGCCCAGAACAATAGCTGTAGGAATCACAGGGTCCAGAAAGGAGTTTTCAATTGTCATTAATGTGAGAAGAGTTGAGCATGTTTGAAAAACCAGTAGAAAGAATCTAGTAAAACCCTGGCTGATGTGGTTCAGTGGATTGAGCACTGGCCTGCGAACCAAGGGGTCGCTGGTTCGATTCCCAGTCAGAGTGCATGCCTGGGTTGCGGGCCAAGTCCCCAGTGCGGGGCATGTGAGAGGCAACCATACATTGAGGTTTCTCTTCCTCTCTTTCTTCCTTCCTCTCTGTCTAAAAATAAATAAGTTAAAAAAAAAAAAGAAAGGATCTAGTAAAGATCAGTGGGAACAGGAATGGGCAGGAGGACTGGCATTAGACATTGTAGCAGGAGAGAAGTAAATAGATGCTTATAGATGCTTACCTGTGTCAGCCAGAAGGTAACAGGAAGGTAGATGAGTACCTTTGGGTGGCTTCTATTTTCTCCATGAATAGAAGGAAAGAAAATCTGCTAAGAGAAGGTGGGAGGTCTGGGGTTTGAGGAGAGTAAAGATGGGCTGAAATTCCAAGTGAACCAAAAGTGAGCAGTTAGGGGCAAACCTGGTGAAGATTGGCAACCTCTACAAATGTATAGAGGTACCAATTTGCCTTGGCTTTTTCTCCCCAATACTCAGCTCTTTAGGTGCAGGGAGATGGCAGGATTCACCCAGGTGACTGCTAGGAAGACAGAGCAGCAAGGGGATCCAAAGGTTTGGTGAGTGTGGAATCGGAGCCAGATAAGGTTGGAAGCACATAGGAAGAAAGTAAGAGTCGGTGTACTATTGAGGACCCAAAAGGCTGAAGGATGGTCACAGTGGGAGCACGCTGGAGAGGCATGCTTCAGATACTGATTTTGGAAATGGTTGTTTCAGCAATAATGCAGTCCAAGGGGCGACCATCGGAGCAGGAAGATGGTGAGATGACATGATGGGGCCATCATGGCATATGGGGAGGTCAAGACCCAAAAGGCCCAAGTGCTGAGCATCTCTGTGGAATGAGTCAGGAGAAGGACCCGAATGGCAGGACAAGGCAGGACCCTGCAAGTCGTGGCTTCCCAGCTTCTACCCCGAACATTCTGCTCTTTTAGATACTGACAGAGCTGAGTGGGGAAGTTGTTGTTTGCTGTTTTGGCCCCGGCATAGTCACTGTCCTTTTGCCTCACTGGGGAGGCAGGGCCTGGTCTTTTCCAGGGGCCTGGCACACGCACTTAATATCTGCTGGGAGAATTAATAATTAACTTATTCAGAATTAATAAATGAGCAAATGAAAGAGAGGGACTCCACCTGGTGGATGTGAGGTAGAGAACTTTTGAACATATTAACCCCACATATTAGATGGGCTGTGTAAGTTGAAAGATGGAATACAAATTAAAAAACCCCTACAATTAGAAGAGGGCTATATTAGTTTGCTAGGGTTGCTATAACAAAATAGCACAAACAAGGTTGCTTGAAACAATAGAAATGGATTTTCTCCCAGCTCTTTTCCCTGGCTTGCACGTGGCCATGCTTTTGCTGTGTCTTCTCAGGGTCTCTGCTCTATGTGTACGCACCCTGGTCGGTATCTGTACCCAAATTTCCTCTTCTTACAAGGACACCAGTCAGATTGAATTAGGGCCCATCCTGATGGACCCGTTTCAACGGAACCAGCTCTTTAAAGGCCTATCTCCAAATACAGACACATTCTGAGGTACTGTGGGGTAGGGCTCAACATGCGAATTTTGGCAGCTCACAATTCAGACCCTAACAAGTGCTGGGTTTGCAATCCACTGGCCGTGGGCATCTTCTTTGTCCTGCCTCCACAACTTTCTTGGACCTCTCACTTCGCTTCTGTCTTTCACAAGCCTGCCCTCCAGACACTGAGCCTCCTTGTAGGGGAACAGTTGTCCTGAGCTGCTGCTACTGCTGCTGCTGACAGGAGATGGGATTTCCTCCCCTCTCACTTAGTCATTGTAGACATTCTCCTTGGAAATCCTGGAAACGGACTCTGAGAAACCTCTCAGTTCTGCAGTGGCAGTGCCACTAGTGGGGATGGGGGAGTAAGTTGAGGAGGAAAGGGGAAATAAAGGTGCTAAATTTAAGTTATTTGTGGGCTGGCACATGGGGCATGTTTGGGCTTGATGATTCTGAATCAGATCAGTACCTTTAAGTTGTAACTTTCTCAGGAGAGCAGAAACCAGATTCTCAGCTCCCACACTTTAGGTAGAAAGTCATTGACTTGCAAATGCACCGTTCCATTTGCTCTTTCTTGCACAGCACTTTTCTAGACTGGGTTCTGATGCTGAGAAGGTGGCACTTGTTAACCCAAGCTCAGGCCAGTGACTCAACTCTGCTTAGCTAATACAACTTAGTGAAGTCGGACTATACAGACTCCAGCATTCTAGGGCTCGGGCCAAGGAATGGACTCCTAATAATTTCTTGAGGAACACCTAGGATGGGGGGCCAAGAGCAATGTGGAGAACAAAAACCAGGTTTAGGTGAGTAACATTTTGGAGAGGTAGGGCCAGAGCAAATTATGCTAAGAAATCAATCACATCAAGTGAGTAACAGACACTCAAATAAATGGAGAACTGATGATTCCTAATACGATTCCTGTGAAACCATCTCCCTTCTTACTCCTTTGTGTGACTCAAAGTATGATAAAAGCTCAGACTGATCCAGTGAGGAAGCTCCCATCACACAGATGGAACAAGAACCAAAACTAAGTTTTTAGTAAGAGTTTGGATTTTCCTTGAATGTGCTTAAAAATAGCACCAGAAGGGACTGATGAAACATGACAACCAAACACAATGTGGTACTGGATGGGGTCTCCTGCAAGAAAGGAAAACATCATTGAGACAGTGGGTACCATCTGAACGGGGTCTGTGGACGGGGTGGTAGCGCTGTACAGTGTCGGTTTCCTAACTGGGAGGACTGGCTGTTGGCAACGCAGGAGAGTGTTCTTGTGTTTGGGAGGTACACACTAGGGAATTTAAGGCTGATAGAGCATCATGTCAGGGAAAAAAAAAAGATGGAGCAAATGTGGTAAAATGTTAACAACTGGAAATTTGGGTAAAGGTGATGTAGGCGTTCTTTGT